TACTAGTCAAAATAATCAACAGTTGGTTAATGAACAATCAACAACGGGTTAAAAATAATCAACAGGTGGGCAAAAAACAGGAAGAAAAAGCAACAGGTGGTCGAAAATCAATCAATAACGGTCAAAATATGCAACAGATGGGTAAAAATCAATCAATAACGGTCAAAAAATGCAACAGTTGTCCACTCCACCTCCACCTCAATATGCAACAGTTGTCCACTCCACCTCCACCTCCACCTCCACCACCTCCACCTCAATGATACCCAAAGGGGACCTACTATACTACTAATATTCAACTATTTTTTTGCCTATGACGCGATGAAGTTACGATATTATGCTTCGTATAATGCTGTTTAACTTGAATTAATCCCGTCCAAATAGCCACCTCCAAATCTGGCACTCTTTATATTATATACGTATATACATATATATATATATATATATATATATATATATATATATATATATATATATATATATATATATATATATATATATTTATTTATTTATATGTTATTTAGTTATTTATTATTATTATTATATTATAAAATTTCCCACAAAAATACTAAATTCAGTCTTCTTAATCTCCCGTCTTACCGCTCCCCCGTAAGTTGTTGGTCAAACTTATAATCCTATTCAAAACTTAAATGGTTCCATTTGTTGTTATTATAAAAATGTAATCCGGAATTTTATTTATTTTATTTGTAACAATTGATCAGAAAAGCTGTTCAATCTATCAGTTTACTAATGATTGATATTTTTTCATTAACTTGATTGTTTGGTGATATCGATTCTTCCAACCCAAAGGTACATTAAAATTTGATATATGCTGATTCGTGTTTGACGAAGTTTGCAGAGGCGTTTGGCTGGTAGCAAATGGTGGGTGTGGCTGGTAGCAAATGGTGGGTGTGGCTGGTAGCAAATGGTGGGTGTGGCTGGTAGCAAATGGTGGGTGTGGCTGGTAGCAAATGGTGGGTGTGGCTCAGTGGCGTAGGCAGGGGGGGTTAGGGGGGGTCATAACCCCCCCCCCCCCATAGACCCCTCGGTATATATAAAAAGTATGAGGGGGGGTGCAAATCGAAAGTTTGAGGGGGGGGGGGGTGCAAATCGAAAGTTTGAGGGGGGGGGGGGGTGCAAATCGAAAGTTTGAGGGGGGGGGGGTGCAAATCGAAAGTTTGTCCCCGGGTAAAAATTGGAAACCTCCCCTTGAGACGATCCTGGCTACGCCACTGGTGTGGCTGGTAGCAAATGGTGGGTGTGGCTGGTAGCAAATGGTGGGTGTGGCTGATAGCAAATGGTGGGTGTGGCTGATAGCAAATGTTGGGTGTGGCTGGTAGCAAATGGTGGGTGTGGTTGGTAGCAAATGGTGGGTGTGGCTGGTAGCAAATGTTGGGTGTGGCTGGTAGAAAATGGTGGGTGTGGCTGGTAGCAAATGGTGGGTGTGGCTGGTAGAAAATGGTGGGTGTGGCTGGTAGCAAATGGTGGGTGTGGCTGGTAGCAAATGTTGGGTGTGGCTGGTAGCAAATGGTGGGTGTGGCTGGTAGCAAATGTTGGGTGTAGTTGGTAGCAAATGGTGGTTGTGTCTGGTAGCAAATGTTGGGTGTGGTTGGTAGCAAATGCTGGGTGTGGCTGGTAGCAAATGTTGGGTGTGGCTGGTAGCAAATCGTGGGTGTGGCTGGTAGCAAATGTTGGGTGTGGTTGGTAGCAAATCGTGGGTGTGGCTGGTAGCAAATGGTGGGTGTGGCTGGTAGCAAATGGTGGGTGTGGCTGGTAGCAAATGTTGGGTGTAGTTGGTAGCAAATGGTGGGTGTGTCTGGTAGCAAATGTTGGGTGTGGTTGGTAGCAAATGGTGGGTGTGGCTGGTAGCAAATGTTGGGTGTGGCTGGTAGCAAATGTTGGGTGTGGCTGGTAGCAAATGTTGGGTGTGGTTGGTAGCAAATGGTGGGTGTGGTTGGTAGCAAATGGTGGGTGTGGCTGGTATGTGCCTGTGTGCGCCACGTACAGCTGAGCCTTTAAGATTTTTCTCTTTTGACAGTTTGTCCGGCAGGATTCTACTCCACTAATTGTCACGACGTATGTAGCTGTTCACAAGTCCATTGCTTCTTTAATGGCTACTGTTACGACTCAAATTGCCAGATTGGATATTTCGGAGATTTATGCGACAATGGTTAGTTTTCTTACTTACATATTCGATATATATATATACATATATATATATATATATATATATATATATATATATATATATATATAAATATATATATATATATATATATATATATATATATATATATATATATATATATATATATAGATATAGATATTTGCAATTATATATAAATATAAATATATGTATATAAATATAATATATAAATAAATATATATATATGTATGGTTCCATGTCAAATGATCTCAGGACAAATGATCTCAGACAAAATATCTCAGACAAAATATCTCACGGACAAATGATCTCAAGACAAATGATCTCAAGGACAAATGATCTCACGGACAAAAGATACCAGGACAAAATATATCAGGACAAATGATATCATGGACAAATGATCTCAGACAAAATATCTCAGACAAAATATCTCACAGCGAAATTTTAATAGTATTTCGATGATTTTAGTTGAACTTTTTTTATTGACTGTTAATATGGTTTTGTTTACTTTTTTGCGTATAATAATTGTGAATAAAATGAATTAGTTAACCTAACAAACCATCAAAATGTGTATTAAAAAATTGTAGTAGCATTTGATTTGAAAAAGTAAAAATTAAAACAAACTGTCTTTTAGCCTAAAGGTATAAAACAAATAAAGTAACGGTAGCTATACAACATTAATGTTCATATCACGCGAAATATCTTTCAAAAATGTGAATGGGTCTGAAGGTTCGTAACGTTAAACTATTGTTTTTATTACATCATCAACACAAACATAAAGTGTAAGTTTCTTTTCTGGTAGGTACATCGTTATGATCACACCTCGCCAATACTATGTGATCATCTATTGTGTGAACTCTTGCTAGACATGTCCTAATTTCACATTTCCAAATGGCAAACATACATTCACCAGAAACTAATGTCCTAATATTTTTCTGCGAGGTAACGAAAGAGACCATAGCAAAGCAATCACCATTAATACTGCTTTGTTTGATGCACACTACGACATACTTAGCTTCGCGATGACCGCTGTCTTTTAAATAAGCATTTGTCACCTGATCACTAAGGTGTGACCGAAGCATAACAATAGACTTGAAAAGCTAGTCGTATTGTCCATGGAGTGCGGATGTCTTTCCCTTAAGGCATGTCTCTGCCATCAAAGCGAGCGGCCACCTTGATACAAAGGTGTGTCTTTATTGTTATTTCATCCCCTTTGATCTAGTTTCGTCCACCTGACGTGGTAGAATTGTCTCACGTTTGACAAGCACACCTACGCTGTCTTTCGAAATTATTTCTTTAAACTTGGTATACTATATTACTAATACTAACCTTAAAATGTTTAGTGCAATATGACAAATTTATACTGCAAACATTTCTTACAATTACTATAGAGGCCTATAAACAATGTTAAACATAGTAAACAAAACGATAAGAGAGTCAATAAAAAAAAATTCAGATCAATTAAAATCATCCAATACACTATTAAAATTTAGTTGTGAGATATTTTGTCTGAGATATTTTGTCTGAGATCAATTGTCCGTGGTATCATTTGTCTTGATATATTTTGTCCTGGTATCTTTTGTCCTTGAGATCATTTGTCCTGAGATCATTTGTCCTGAGATCATTTGTCCTGAGATCATTTGTCTTGAGATCATTTGTCCGTGAGATATTTTGTCTGAGATATTTTGTCTGAGATCATTTGTCCTGAGATCATTTGTCCTGTCACCATATGTATATATATATGTATATTATATATATATATATATATATATATATATATATATATATATATATATATATATATATATATATATATATATATATATATATATATATATATATATTATTTATTTATTTATTTATTTATTTATATACATATATATATATATATATATATATATATATATATATATATATATATATATATATATATACATAATTAAATATATCCCTTGCACCTTAATATGCATACATCTTATGTCCTTTCTTGTCTGCAAATAAATAAATTTCGAGTCTAGAATTTTGATTTTTTAGGTTACGATCACAGTAAGGAATGTTTATAGTGTGTGATATTTGGCCAGAATAAAATTCACCTGGGCTACCATTTGAGGCTTGGTGAACCTAACTAAATACATCTCACGTATTAATTACCTCTCCTACTGAGTTAGTGTACTCCCTTAATCAACAACACTTTACTCCTCTTCTGCCCTATAATGTTAATCACATTATAATGTGCCAACCTACTCCGCAGTTAAACTTTCTTTAACTCTCCAGTTGAGCAATCTACATACACCCCAGTTGACCTATCTATATACGCCCCAGTTGACCTATCTATATACTCCCCAGTTGACCTATCTATATACTCCCCAGTTGACCTATCTACATACTCCCCAGTTGACCTATCTACATACTCCCCAGTTGACCTATCTACATACACCCCAGTTGACCTATCTATATACGCCCCAGTTGACCTATCTATATACTCCCCAGTTGACCTATCTATATACGCCCCAGTTGACCTATCTATATACGCCCCAGTTGACCTATCTATATACGCCCTAGTTGACCTATCTATATACTCCCCAGTTGACCTATCTACATACTCCCCAGTTGACCTATCTACATACTCCTAAGTTGACCTATCTATATACGCCCCAGTTGACCTATCTATATACGCCCCAGTTGACCTATCTATATACGCCCTAGTTGACCTATCTATATACTCCCCAGTTGACCTATCTACATACTCCCCAGTTGACCTATCTACATACTCCTAAGTTGACCTATCTATATACTCCCCAGTCGACCTAACAACCTATGTAAACTGTGTGTACCCAAGAGTGTTGTTTGATTACGATGGTTACACATGTGAAGATATGTCTGAAACACCAGTCTACCTCTGCTTTGTGACAGAGTTCATTGTGCGGTCAGTGCGGATTATTTTTGATGTACCAGGTAACTTAGATCTTACCACACCTGCAAGTTATTCAAGTTAAAAGTACCTGCCTCAATAGCACCTCTATCGGCATGGTAATCAAAGCTAGCTTAAATTATTTGATTGTTCATACACTTTAATTCATGGGATGGGGCGGTGTGGCCAAGCGATAGGGTGCTAGATGCTGACCCGACAGTTTCGAGTTCGAATACAGGTTCAAATCATTAAAACGTCCCTAAGTCCACCCAGCCAGAGTTTCTTCCAGGCATCTTTTTTTACCGCCCCCCCCCCCCCCCCCCAAACGAAATGAAATTTATATAATTTATATAGAAAATATATACTTTTAACATTGTCCGCCCCCCCCCGAAGAAAGTTTACCGCCCCCCCCGAAAATTTCAAGTGCCCCCCCCCCCCCCCCCCGGAGAAAAAAGTCTGGAAGAAACACTGCACCCAGCTCCGATAGATTCCTAACTCACGTTAGGGAAAATTAAGGCGGCTGGACATAGTGCTGACCACACTATCCATTCAAATGCCCAAGTCATTTAAACATATGAACTCTACTTCACCTGCCCCCCTTTATCTTGTTCACGAAGGGGAAAAAAGGCGGGAGATGATTAATCAGGGTATTTTACCTTTATTTACCATTTTATCATGTTTGTTTTATACTTGCAAACAAATTGCAACTGCTCCTGTAGGTGTGTTGTCTGATACATGATTGTTTATGTACTTACATTTGTAATGCAGTAAGTGTGGTCCATGATTGTTTCTGTATTTACATCTGTAACCTAGTCGATGTGATCGACGAACCAGCTGTGATAGAAATCTTGAGTTCCAAGCACACCGAGCCTTATCATGTGAAATACAGTCCAGATTATATAGATGAAACCACGGCCGATTTGCTCTTTACTGAACCTATTGCTGTGAAAATCATGAAAATAAGTATCCTGAACATATCAACCGCTGTCTGCGCGATGCGAGTAAGTGGTGGTGAGTATACATCCTTAAATCCATCTATCAATCGTTCTATCCATCTATCCTACAATCCGTTTATCCATCCGTTCATCCGTTGACACACTCAATTAATTTGTGTACAATTTGTTCCCCCAAGGAATCTCAATCAAAGACCTAAGTCCAGTCTACACAGTAGGCGGTAACTCGGAGAGACCCCATCTGTCGGACCTGTTGCACGACCGTGTAAAATACCAGACGTGCATCATGACTAGAGATTTCAACGAGCTGCAGATAGACATCGGGCAGATGGTGCTCATCTACCTGGTCATCTTCTACGTCCCGGGTGCGGTCTTTGGTTTCTGTTCACTCGCATAGGTCGGGGACTTTATGGGTCTAGGTCGGGGACTTTATGGGTCTAGGTCGGGGACTTTATGGGTCTAGGTCGGGGACTTTATGGGTCTAGGTCGGGGACTTTATGGGTCGAGGTCGGGGACTTTATGGGTCTAGGTCGGGGACTTTATGGGTCTAGGTCGGGGACTTTATGGGTCTAGGTCGGGGACTTTATGGGTCTAGGTCGGGGACTTTATGGGTCTAGGTCGGGGACTTTATGGGTCTAGGTCGGGGACTTTATGGGTCTAGGTCGGGGACTTTATGGGTCTAGGTCGGGGACTTTATGGGTCTAGGTCGGGGACTTTATGGGTCTGGGTCGGGGACTTTATGGGTCTAGGTCGGGGACTTTATGGGTCTAGGTCGGGGACTTTATGGGTCTAGGTCGTAGACTGGATAGGTCAAGCTCGGAGACTGGATAGGTCAAGGTCAGAGACTGGATAGGTCTAGATCGGAGACTGGATAGGTCAAGCTCGAAGACTTGATAGGTCTAGATCGGAGACTGGATAGGTCAAGCTCGAAGACTTGATAGGTCTAGATCGGAGACTGGATAGGTCAAGCTCGAAGACTTGATAGGTCTTTCTTTGACCGTGGGCTTGCTGACACACAAGAGATACGCCAAAGTCTCTGGTATCGTACCAAACAGAGAGCTTGTATGTTTTGGTCTCTCTTAAAATTTTGTTTGTCATGTAGGAATACACATTTTCGAACTTAATTAATTGTTGTAAACATGATCCACATTGATATAGAAAAAATTTTTGCCGTCGGTATAAACTTGGCTACACTTCAAGATTTTAAAACAACAAAAGCACCCTGAATGCAGCAAATATTTTTTTTTTACTTATAATAGGACAAATTTAAACTAGCCTACATGTTATCATTGTTTACGATTTTAAATACATAACGTTAAAGGAAGTAACTATTATATATTTTTTACCGATTTTATAAAAAAAGTATTTACATTTGGTTTGAAAAATTTTTGCTAGCAAGTACAAAAACAACAAGTTAGTGACCTACTTACAAGTTATTTTTGGGAGTAATATACTAATTGGAACTTAATTTTAATAATTTCCGCTTCTAGAATACTTATTAACATTAGATGCATTTTTAAATGTTTTTTTAATTTATTTGTTTATTTTATTAATTGATTAGAAATAGTTCCACGGGATTTATTGTTTATTTATTGTGATAAGAAAAAATAGCTTATTATATGTGTGTTACCTTACACACTTACCATACTTGTTTCACCTTACAAACTTACCATACTTGTTTCACCTTATAAACTTACCATACTTGTTTCACCGTACAAACTTACCATACTTGTTTCACCTTATAAACTTACCATACTAGTGTCACCTTACAAACTTACCATACTTGTGTCACCTTACAAACTTACCAAACTTTTGTCACCTTACAAACTTACCATACTTGTGTCACCCCACATACTTACCAAACTTGTGTCACCTTACAAACTTACCATACTAGTGTCACCTTACAAACTTACCATACTTTTGTCACCTTACAAACTTACCAAACTTTTGTCACCTTACAAACTTACCATACTTGTGTCACCCCACATACTTACCAAACTTGTGTCACCTTACAAACTTACCATACTTGTGTCACCCTAAAAACTTACCATACTTGTGTCACCTTACAAACTTACCAAACTTGTGTCACCGTACAAACTTACCAAACTTGTGTCACTCATACATATTTTCATCAAAAACCAAATCCATACATTTCTGGGCATACTTAAACGTAACGTATTTTTCCCTTCTCCCTAGACATTACAGCTCCATGGACGATACAACTGGAATTGTATGACACCAACGGCAGCTCCGTTTTCGAAACGATCTTCACCCATCAAGGAGTCTATACCTATTTTGCCGTAATCAACGAACATGCTGAAAGAATCATACTCCGATTTCTGGATGGAATCTTTGGGATCTGTGAGGTGGAGACATACGCAGGTGAACAAAATATCTTGTCGCTGTTGAAAAGTATCACTAAGACATCGTTGCGGGTGTAGGTACCACCCTGACAATTATCCCCCCCCCCCCGAAAATTAACCCCCCCCCCCCACCAAGCTAGAATCCTAACTCTAACTCAAATTCTATACCTATATATAACCTTAATATATAACCTACATAAATAAATAAATATATATATATAATATATATATATATATATATATATTATATATATATATATATATATATATATATCAGTATATAACCTTTATCATTACCATAAGAAAAAGACCAAAAACTAAGGGATTTGTCAGAAGGGTAATTGACGGGTGGATAATGCCCTGTTCCAGTATATATAGTATGTATATATCATTATATATCTTTATATATATATATATATATATATATATATATATATATATATATATATATATATATATATATATATATATATATATACATGCGTTTTTCTTGCTGTGTCTCAGAAATAAGCAATTCAGAAACATTTACTGAGACCGTGGATGAATCGATGAGTACGGAGACCACCCTAAATACGTATGTGGAGGATGAAGTAGAGGACAGCGCCCTGTTGAATTACACGCTCGACTTCATCAAGGTGTTGTTCTGGCTCAGTTTTATCCTCATCGTCTGCTTTGTTGTGGACGCAAACTTAAGACGGAGGCGAAAGCAAAAAGGTACTTTTTTTTAACTTTTCGTGTTTGCGTTTTAAAAACAATTAGGGATCACTGTTATTTACTACCATAAAAAATGACATCATTAGCGTGTATTATTGAGATTATAGAGTTGACAGATGATGATTATGTAGATAATAGTGGTGGCAGTTAATGATTATGTAGAGTATAGAGGTGAAAGCTGATGATTCTGTAGATAATAGAGATGGAAGTTGATAATTTTGTATAGTCTAGTTTAATACTTGTTATGTGTTTAGATGTAGTGTGGTTTAGTTTTTTGTCAGTTTATCGATAAGATGGCTATTAAGTCGTATCGGCAATTGATTATGAATTTAGGGTTGTGTTTACTTAATAGCAATTTTCTGTTAATTAAACAAAGCGGCAGTTTAAGCTAGGCAAGATGGACTAATGTCTAGATTTTTACCATACTACCCCCAATGTCTTGAGTAAAAATTATTTAAGATAATAATATATGCATGATGTCACGCTTTTTAACTATTTGTACACATCGTCACACTTCGTCGTTCAAACCCCCCACCCACTACCCCGTAACGTGACGTCACACCCGAGCTTATCACAGTTATCAAGTTTCCATTTTTTTAAAATAAGTACCGTTTTCTTTCTAAAATATATATTGTGCACGGTCAACATTGAGTGTAGAAATCGATTTTTTAAAATCATTAAATAAAAACAACCTAAATCATTAAAATTAAGTTTTAAACATTACTTTTTCAATTGAAAATATGTGTCGTCACACGGTCGGAAAATCCCTTCTTGCCGTAACACATCGTCCCATAAATCCCGACCAACCATTCCTTTGGGGGACGGAGTGGTCTAGCGGTAGAGAGCTGGACTGCTAACCCTTAAGTCTCAAGCCAATAGACCGTCCCTGAGTCCACCCAACTCTGATGGGTAACTAACTCATGTTAGGGAAAGTAAAGGCGGCTCATAGTGCTGACCGCACTATCTCTTCATAATTATGCCGAGGACACTGAAACAAGTGAACTCTACTTCACTTGCCCTATAGACCGTCAGGTTTGAAAGGGAAATTTACTTTCACTTTTACCTTTCCTTGGAATGTGTAATCGACGATTTTCTTTGACAGCGGAACGTGTTGTGAAGGAATAGAGACGAAGGAGCCACCCATGAAAGGTCTGCTGGTTGGCTCTCGGCTTCCAACCCAGTAACACTCATTAAGTTTCTTAATTAGCAGGGTCTCAGCAGCTTTTAATTAATGACCATTTTAGCTTAGTTTACTTAGTGACCAGTTTATTATATTAGCTAAGTTTACTTTCATTTTTAATACTATTAGATTCTTTTTTTCACCGTAGTTTAACTTTTTCAGCAGTGAGGTGATATTAGTGTTAATTTTTTTTTTCAAAACGTTACAAATATTATTATTGCTCTTTATGAACATATACGATACGTGTTTAAATATTTAAAACATAGGATTTATGAAAATTATGTTAAAATATTAATTATTTACTTTAAAAAATATAAGAAGTAAAAAAAAAAAATACCTTATAAATTAGTGAGTGTCACGATTTCATGATTTTTTAAATACTGATAGAACATTAGTCAAGGGTTCGTAATATACAAATTATTCATTCAAACATTAAACTCACTTAGGTCTAATTATAGTTTTATTTAGATTTCATGTTAACACTTCATTTAAAGTGTCTCCGGAGGTTAACTGTCTCAAGTATAATCAATGCTGACAGGTGCTTAACGATAACATGTAGTAAATAGACATAGTATATATATATATATATATATATATATATATATATATATATATATATATATATATATATATATATATATATATATATATATACATACATATATACATATATATATACATATATATATATATATATATATATATATATATATATATATATATATATATATATATATATATATATATATATATATATATATATATGTACATATATATATATGTGTGTGTGTGTGTTTGTTTTTGTCCGTAAGTGTAAATATATATCTATATGTGCATTGTTTTAATGAGTTATTAAACCTTGATTTATTTTTATAACGAGTCGGTATTTTTTTTAAATTGTTTGCTTTTATATAAGAGGCACAAAGTTCATCTAAGTGTGGTTCCCGTCAGGGTGTATTTGAGGAGGGGAGGGGGGACACCCCACGGAACACGTCCGTACATATAAAATATAACCAGTGTCCGCCCCCTCCCCCACGGAAATTGTAAGTGCCTCTACTCCCTTCGCGGAGAAATATTTCTAAAGGCCGTTCTCATTGCTAGAAATAAAATAAAAAATTTGCGAAATATATTTTGCAATCACATTCCGTGTATCAGACAGACGTTAAGGAAGATATTTCTCTGGAGCTACTTAATACATCAATACTTAGCACGCACTAACAATGTTATAAATGAAGATATTTCTCCCGAGCTATCTACCTCTCTCCTTCCTTTCCTTAGCGCATGCGCACACCCATACTATATTTTATATTCATATCGCCTTTTTATGATACATAGGCCTACTCGAAACATACATTCATCTACATTTAACTGTTACAGTTATAAAGGAAGATATTTCTCCCGAGCTAATACATCAATACTTAGCACGCCCTAACAATGTTATAAAGGAAGATATTTATCTGGAGCTACTTAATACATCAATACTTAGCACGCCCTAACAATGTTATAAAGGAAGATATTTCTCCCGAGCTAATGCATCAATACTTAGCACGCCCTAACAATGTTATGAATTATGACGTTCCATTGAAGATAACTTTGATCAAGACTGTTACAAAAATCAAATATATCACTGACTTTACCTAACGATGCATGGAGGAGAACTTGACTACAAATTTGAATCAAATAACTATCAAAATGTTAACTGAATTTTTACTCACAACGTTTTTAATTCCTCCAATGCAATGAGTGTATGTTGATGCATTACTGGATTTTTTTTATAGAAAATCGTTTTATTTTCTGTTTTTTTATGTCTTATTCAAAAGATTCTCACTAGATTTTTATCATTAAATTTAACTTTCTCGTATTGTTTCTCTATATCAGCTATGATGGGTACCTTACGTTAGGGAGAGTGTGGGCGGCCGGGCATAGTGCTGACCACACTATTTCTTTATATGCCGAGGTCACAGAAGCAGGTGAACCTTGCTTCACTTACCCCATGGGCAGCGAGTATCAAAAAGAGAACTTGCTATACGGATTAGTAGAAAGATTTCTAAAGCAGCAAAAAATTTAAGAACAATATAAAACAAAACTGGATTTTTTAGTATATATATATATATATATATATATATATATATATATATATAATTATGTATGTGTATGTGTGCGTGTATGTGTGTGTGTTTGTGTGTGTGTGTGTGTGTGTGTGTGTGAATACATTTGAGCCTTTAGTATAAGCAGAAAAAAGTCACTGCGCTGGTGCGCAATTGACCAAATCTTTGTGCATAGGTAGGGTGGGTAAGTTCGCACGAAATATTACCTAAACATCCGCTTTTTGGTCATATGTTTAGTTTCGTTTAGACTTACGTGTTTCTGTCTAATGTTAAGTTTATAATGCTATTGATATTTGTTAAATAACTTCCTTTGGAAAATCACCTGACAAAGCATGACTTGGAAGACTTTTGTTTTTCTTATTGCTACTGTTTGTTACGCCAAGAATCGTCTTCAGATAAAACCTGTACCAGTGTCAGACACAGGTTGGTTTTAGATGAGTTTAGAGTTAAGAGTTAAGAGTTAAGATTTAAGAGTTTAGAGTTTAGAGTTTAGAGTTTAGAGTTTAAGGTTTAAGGTTTGAGGTTTGAGGTTTAGAGTTTAGAGTTTAGAAGAATTTGTGTGTTTTGCAGATCAAATAACACAATAATGTAAAAAAAAAACATTGGTGGGGGTATTTTTTTTCCATTTTTAAGTGGTATTTAAACGCATGTAGACTATAACTTGAATTGTAGTCGTTACATATCTTTAAAAGTGTCATACGTTAATTCAATCTCTCCATGATTTTGGGGGTATATCAAAGACGATTATAGTTCTGGGTACGGTTAGGTTTTGAAATAGAAGTAGAATTGAGCAAATGACTATTGGAGGCTTCTCTTATGGAGGACTTTTCGCATATCTAGAAGTGTAACTATTCTAAAATATAGAGCTTTAATATAATGTAATGCAAATGTTTTGTTCCGATCTACACGTCTAGTAATCTCAGTAGCCGTGGTTATCCCATCAAACTTATCAAAGCACATAGATGCTAGCTGTACATACATCCAGGGGCGTAGCGAGGGGGCGGCGGAGGGTGCGGACCGCACCGGGTGACACCATTTAGGGGGGTGACACCAAGGCAAAAAATAGCAAAATATATAGAGAAAAACTCGAGAGGGGGGGGGGGTGCAAATCGAAAGTTTGGGGGGGGGGGTGCAAATCGAAAACTTGAGGGGGGGGTGCAAATCGAAAGTTTGAGGGGGGGGGGGGTGCAAATCGAAAATTTGAAAGTTTGTCCCTGGGAAGGGTCTCTATGCCTCTGGGGGGGGGGACACACCATTAGGTGCCGCCACTGCATACATCTACTTGCTTCATCTTAATTTAAAAAAATTACTACAATTGCTGTTTTCGAAGTTGTACCACTAAAATATTTTAAACATAAACACTTTAAAAGCATAACAACTGTGATGTTAATTATCTATAAGACTAAATACATGAGAAATGTATCTATTTTTTGTGTTTTGAATTGTGAAAGGGCTGCCTGTAAAGGTGAAGAGTATTCAGTACGTGCTGTTTGGCCCCAACCCACAACTTTTCGATCAGCTGATTGAGCTGACATTTCTGTCAATCAATCCTAAACCTGTCGCGACGGTAAGCCGTGATCAATTTAGGCTAATTAATTTATTTTGAAAACATTTGTATTGTATACTTCACCAGCTGTAACGACAGGTAACTAACTATACTTCGATATATATATATATATATATATATATATATATATATATATATATATATATATATATATATATATATATATATATAGGTGGGTTAGTGTATAGGCGTGTTCGCTTGTTACAGCTCAGCTATTACGACTACCTACAACATAAAGCTGAGAAGACAATCAACCTAGAACTGATCGAATCCCAGAGAACACCTTACACCTACGAATACATGTAATGTACTCTTGATGTTTCGGCTTCACATAGCTTGTTTAATGCTGATATAGATCGATGTACTTGCGTGACTAAACTACGGTTACCATACAACTTACTACTCTTCTCTCGCTGGGTGTGACGCTAAATTCACCCAGAGTATTCATGGAAAGTAACAACTCAAACACTGTAAAACAGATTCTGTTATTTTTAAGTTATGCAAAGTATGCAAAAACTTTCATGGAGTTATGTTTATTTTTATTTTTCGGTGTCTAAAGCCCGTCAGAATGTGTAGGGGGTAGGGGTATCCCGTCAGAATGTCTAGGGGGTAGCGGTAGCTCATATGAATCTCAACAAAAAGTGAGAGGGAAAAAGCTTTGAAAACAGTGTAATTCTGTAAAAAGTATAAATAATAACTGGGTACAGCAACTCCTCTGGGAGAGATAACTCCAAAATCAAACTGCTGCTGTATTGGTGGAAATCCCATCCAATATTATAATTAAAACACGAAGAAGAAGATTACCAATAAACTGCATTTTTGAAGTGAAGTAAGCTCTGAGTTACGAATGTTAAAATATCCAAATATAGACCCTTTAATTAAAAGTTCAGGTCAGTTACAAATGTTAAAATATCCAAATATAGACCCTTTAATTAAAAGTTCAGGTCAGTTACAAATGTTAAAATACCCAAATATAGACCCTTTAATTAAAAGTTCAGGTCAGTTACAAATGTTAAAATATCCAAATATAGACCCTTTAATTAAAAGTTCAGGTCAGTTACGAATGTTAAAATACCCAAATATAGACCCTTTAATTAAAAATTCAGGTCAGTTACGAATGTTAAAATACCCAAATATAGACCCTTTAATTAAAAGTTCAGGTCAGTTACGAATGTTAAAATATAAAAAAATGGACACTTTAATTAAAAGTTTGGGTCAGTTACGAATGTTAAAATATCCAAATATAGACCCTTTAATTAAAAGTTTGGGTCAGTTACGAATGTTAAAATATCCAAATATAGACCCTTGAATTAAAAGTTTGGGTCAGTTACAAATGTTGAAATATCCAAATATAGACCCTTTAATTAAAAGTTCAGGTCAGTTACGAATGTTAAAATATCCAAATATAGACCCTTTAATTAAAAGTTCAGGTCAGTTACGAATGTTAAAATATCCAAATATAGACCCTTGAATTAAAAGTTTGGGTCAGTTACAAATGTTGAAATATCCAAATATAGACCCTTTAATTAAAAGTTCAGGTCAGTTACGAATGTTAAAATACCCAAATATAGACCCTTTAATTAAAAGTTCAGGTCAGTTACGAATGTTAAAATATCAAAAAAAGGACACTTTAATTAAATGTTTGGGCTATGTTATATATTTAAATTGAAGAAGCTACCTTCGTATTTATTTTTATTTATTTAAATAGTTGTTCATTATTATATATTTAAAGAAAATAATTTATTTTCTCCAATTCAGTGCACGATTTAATAACATATTGATATTAAAACCTTTTTAATGCCTTTGTTTCATCAAATTTTAAAAGATGCAACTTTGGTTGGTACCCGATTAATTGGTCATAAATCAACCTTTAAGTATAAAGATAAAAATAGGGTAAGAGTAAGGAAGCAGATAAATACAGACTGGAGAATAAGAGGAGAGACAGAGAGAGCGTAAAAATAGAAGGTGCGAGAATCAGAGAAAAAGAGAGTGAAAAAATAAAACATACTATTCCAAGTATTGTAATAGTTTTTGGAGAGACTCAGAATGTGTGAAAGAGAGAGAAAAAGAGAGAGGGAGAGAGAGAGAGAGAGCGAGAGAGAGAGAGATAAACTGGGGGGGGGGGGGAGATATAGAGACCGTTAAAAAATGTAAAATATACTATTTTATGTATTTAAAAAGATATATCTTCCAATGATAAACGTTCATATATAATTTACTTCTATTTTAAGAATAACGACTACTTTATAAAAACATTCTTAATATGAAAAATGTCTAATAATCATGACTAATTTACTATATAAATCAATTTTATTCCAGAGAAAATTTCAAGAACTACGACCACTTTGTCTTAGACATCGCTGGCAGTATTCCATTCGAATTCGTTGCTGTTACGTCCTGCGGCATCACACCGTACGATTCCGTGAGGCCCGCCATAATTGACGCGTGGTCTAAGGAGTACTACGTACCAGGCGGCAGGTAGGCAATAGCATTTGAGACACGTACAACCGCTGAAAGAGAAAATTTGGTAAACTAAATTATAAAATAAATTTAAATAATTACGTTATTCACTGTTATATACCTCGTAATTGTAGCATATATATATATATATATATATATATATATATATATATATATATATATATATATATATATATATATATATATATATACATACATATATATATTTATCCCGTTCGTGCCCAAGATACATGGGAAGGGTGAAGTAGAGTTCATCTGTTTCAGAGACCTCAGCATTTAAAAGGGTAGTGTGGTCAGCACTATATCGGAATACCTTTTAAAGTATGTACTGCTCCCTTTAGGATAAGGCGGTCCAAGGGTCGGAGGATTTGAGTTGAACAGGTGACCTTGAAATATAAAGGTAAACACACTCCGGAACGAGATTCCAACTCGAGACCTCGGGGGTGGCAGACGAACGCTCTACCACAAGACCACGTTAGATACAGGCAGATTGCTTTCATGTTTAAGGTGGGGATTGGCTGTTCTGCTGCTGACCTACATGAGCCAAGTTAGAGTGACCGAGCTACTAACGTATGGCGTCAAGTCCCAACCGATGGAGTCACACATGATTAGTGCAGGGATACACAATTTGACGCATACTTTAACAAGGTGAATACTAGCCCTAATGAACCGAACAAGTTAAATACTAGCTTGCCCTAATGAACCGAACAAGGTAAATACTAGCCCTAATGAACCGAACAAGGTGAATACTAGCCCTAATGAACCGAACAAGGTAAATACTAGCCCTAATGAACCGAACAAGGTAAATACTAGCCCTAATGAACCGAACAAGGTGAATACTTGCCCTAATAAACCGAACAAGGCAAATACTAGCTAGCCCTAATGAACCGAACAAGGTAAATACTAGCCCTAATGAACCGAACAAGGTAAATACTAGCCCTAATGAACCGAACAAGGTGAATACTAGACCTAATGAACCGAACAAGGTAAATACTAGCCCTAATGAACCGAACAAGGTAAATACCAGCTAGCCCTAATGAACCGAACAAGGTAAATACTAGCCCTAATGAACCGAACAAGGTGAATACCAGCCCTAATGAACCGAACAAGGTAAATACTAGCTAGCCCTAATGAACCGAACAAGGTAAATACTAGCCCTAATGAACCGAACAAGGTGAATACTAGCCCTAATGAACCGAACAAGGTAAATACTAGCCCTAATGAACCGAACAAGGTAAATACTAGCCCTAATGAACCGAACAAGGTGAATACTTGCCCTAATAAACCGAACAAGGTGAATACTAGCCCTAATGAACCGAACAAGGTAAATACTAGCCCTAATGAACCGAACAAGGTAAATACTAGCTAGCCCTAATGAACCGAACAAGGTAAATACTACTCCTAATGAACCGAACAAGGTGAATACTAGCCCTAATGAACCGAACAAGGTAAATACTAGCCCTAATGAACCGAACAAGGTAAATACTAGCCCTAATGAACCGAACAAGGTGAATACTAGCCCTAATGAACCGAACAAGGTAAATACTAGCCCTAATGAACCGAACAAGGTAAATACCAGCTAGCCCTAATGAACCGAACAAGGTAAATACTAGCCCTAATGAACCGAACAAGGTGAATACTAGCCCTAATGAACCGAACAAGGTAAATACTAGCCCTAATGAACCGAACAAGGTAAATACCAGCTTGCCCTAATGAACCGAACAAGGTAAATACTAGCCCTAATGAACCGAACAAGGTGAATACTAGCCCTAATGAACCGAACAAGGTAAATACTAGCCCTAATGAACCGAACAAGGTAAATACTAGCCCTAATGAACCGAACAAGGTGAATACTAGCCCTAATGAACCGAACAAGGTAAATACTAGCCCTAATGAACCGAACAAGGTGAATACTAGCCCTAATGAACCGAACAAGGTAAATACTAGCTAGCCCTAATGAACCGAACAAGGTAAATACTAGCCCTAATGAACCGAACAAGGTAAATACTAGCCCTAATGAACCGAACAAGGTAAATACTAGCCCTAATGAACCGAACAATGTAAATACTAGCCCTAATGAACCGAACAATGTAAATACTAGCCCTATTGAACCGAACAAGGTAAATACTAGCCCTAATGCACCGAACAAGGTAAATACTAGCCCTAATGAACCGAACAAGGTAAATACTAGCCCTAATGAACCGAACAAGGTTAATACTAGCCCTAATGAACCGAACAAGGTAAATACTAGCCGTAGTGAACACAACCTCTGTCACTGTATAACACTGTTTTTAAAATCTGATTTGAATGGAACTTCATCTTGTACGTATACATTAAAATATAGATTGAAGATATATGTGGATGTGGATTTGGTTGTGGTTGATGTACATGTGAATGTGAATGTGGATGTTGACGTAGATGTAGATGTTTAAGTATATGTAGATGTTTAAGTATATGTAGATGTTTAAGTATATGTAGATGTTTAAGTATATGTAGATGTATTTGTAGGTTAAGATGTCATGTAGGTGTAGGTGTAGGTGTAGGTGTAGGTGTAGGTGTAGGTGTAGGTGTAGGTGTAGGTGTAGGTGTAGGTGTAGGTGTAGGTGTAGGTGTAGGTGTAGGTGTAGGTGTAGGTGTAGGTGTAGGTGTAGGTGTAGGTGTAGGTGTAGGTGTAGGTGTAGGTGTAGGTGTAGGTGTAGGTGTAGGTGTAGGTGTAGGTGTAGGTGTAGGTGTAGGTGTAGGTGTAGGTGTAGGTGTAGGTGTAGGTGTAGGTGTAGGTGTAGGTGTAGGTGTAGGTGTAGGTGTAGGTGTAGGTGTAGGTGTAGTGTAGGTGTAGTGTAGTGTAGGTGTATGTGCAGGTGCAGGTGCAGGTGCAGGTGCAGGTGCAGGTGTAGGTGTAGGTGTAGGTGCAGGTGCAGGTGCAGGTGTAGGTGCAGGTGTAGGTGTAGGTGTAGGTGTAGGTGAAGATGTAAACATATATGTAGATGAAGATATAGAAGTAGATGTAGTTGGAGATGTAGGCGTTAGCGTTGACATTTACTTTGACATTGACGTTGACGTAGGCATTGCCGTTGACGTTGCTTGACGCTGATGTTGATGAAGATGTTGCTATTGATGTTAATGTGACCGAGCAATAATATTTTATGTGATTGATTTACCTTTTTTAATTGACTGTATTCAACAGATTTGTTCCTAAAGATGTTACGCTGATGAACCGCAAACATTTAGGGCACCCAATTATTAGTTAGTAAACAGTTATTCCAGTTCTAATATGTCGCTTTTTACTTGTGTCGATTTCTTAGAGAACATTTAGAAGTATACTCTGTATTTTGTATAAAAAATAACACATATGTGCAATCTGTTTTTGTTAGTAAATAAACATATTAAATACTCATTCGTTCACCTATTCATGCCGCACATCAAACTTTTATTTTAAAAAAATTATAAATTGACTTGCTTTTAATATCGATTTCTCAAACCATCAGGTTACCATTTGACATCAAACGACTATTTCTCAGTAATGATGCTAGGCGTTGATAAGCAGAAGAAATACATGGCAGGTAGGTGTCATATATATATAAATATATATATATATATATATATATATATATATATATATATATATATATATATATATATATATATATATATATGTACCTTAAAGATTTTTATGGTACTATTAATTATTAAGCGGTTTTTTTTGTTGAACAGAATTCGTGAGCACACATGTCAACGGTAAAATGTATGACGTTGTACGCTTACTGTCTGCAACAACTATACAAGATTACGTCTTCATTTCGACGGTCGATAATAACACGCTGGTGGTTGAAAAACACGAGGATCCAGTTCAAGAGCAAGTCACGTTGTCTAAAGGAGACTTGTACCATGTAGGTTGATATACAAAGCATTTCAATCAAATCGTTAAGGGGGACCTATGGTGAGATTATCTCTCTATGTTTTGTAAAACAAATTATAAAGGAGGTTTGCAAGGAGGTTTGCAAATGAGTGACGATTATCGATAACCAGGGGCGTAGCGAGGGGGGGGGGGGCGGGGGGTGCGGACCGCACCGGGTGACACCATTTAGGGGGGTGACACCAAGGCAAAAAATAGCAAAATATATAGAGAAAAACTTGAGGGGGGGGGGGGTGCCTATCGAAAGTTTGAGGGTGGGGGGTGCAAATCGAAAACTTGAAAGTTTGTCCCCGGGAAGGGTCGCAACGCCTCTGGGGGGGGGGGGGGGGGTGACACCATTAAGTGCCGCACCGGGTGACACCCGACCTCGCTACGCCACTGTCGATAACTTAATACTATCTTTATAACTGAGATGTATTTATATAGTAATAGTAAAGATGATTCTGTTATAAGTTATAAAAAAAAAACAAGTGATATATATTGCTCCCAAAACTCGACATATAATAAATAAAAAATTTCAACAGCTGAACTACACGCAGTTTTCACAAGTAACTGGCAGTGGCGTGTTATATGCCTTTCTATACATCAGCGATCTATACTTGGTTGCACAGCTTGTGGCTATCAGTGGTTACGAGAACGCGTATATTTTATTGTAAGTTGGAATGCACTAGTCTTTAAGTTCTTGGAAGTGGTAACATAACTAAGAATATCCATACATTGATTTAGGTACTAGGAATGAATAGACCTATATTGTTTTACTTTGGCGACACATTAAGAGAAAGAAATAAACTTAACGAAGTTTGACGAAGGTTTATATATATATATATATATATATATATATATATATATATATATATATATATATATATATATATATATATATATATATATATTATATATATTATATATATTATATATATATATTATATATTATATATATATATGTATATCTGTATATTCTCTGTATAGCTTATATACACATAATTATATTTGGCCGTAACATTTAAAAAAATTATTAACAAAATGCTTAATAAATATTTAAAAAAAGCAAAACAATAATAATAATAAATTTTAAAAAATAATAATAAATTTTTTTTTTAAATGTAAAAATTATATAAATTTAAATAAATAAATAAACAAACAAAAAACATACAATCAAACGAACGGACAAGCGAACACAGGAACAAGCGCACAAATGAACAAATTAACAAACGAACAAACGAACCAAAGAACCAACAAACGAACAAAATAAAAAACGAGTAAACGAGTAAACGAGTAAATGAGTAAATGAGTAAATGAGTAAATGAGTAAATGAGTAAATGAGTAAATGAGTAAATGAGTAAATGAGTAAATGAGTAAATGAATAAATAAATAAATGAATAAATGAATAAATGAATAAATGAATAAATGAATAAATGAATAAATGAATAAATGAATAAAGGAATAAAGGAATAAAGGAATAAAGGCATAAAGGAATAAATGAATAAATGAATAAAGGAATAAAGGAATAAAGGCATAAATGAATAAATGAATAAATGAATAAAGGAATAAAGGAATAAAGGCATAAAGGAATAAATGAATAAATGAATAAATGAATAAATGAATAAATGAATAAATGAATAAATGAATAAATGAATAAATGAATAAATGAATAAATGAATAAATGAATAAATGAATAAATGAATAAATGAATAAATGAATAAATGAATAAATGAATAAATGAATAAATGAATAAATGAATAAATGAATAAATGAATAAATGAATAAATGAATAAATGAATAAATGAATAAATGAATAAATGAATAAATGAATACATGAATACATGAATACATGAATACATGAATACATGAATACATGAATACATGAATACATGAATACATGAATACATGAATACATGAATACATGAATACATGAATACATGAATACATGAATACATGAATACATGAATACATGAATACATGAATACATGAATACATGAATACATGAATACATGAATACATGAATACATAAGCGAATGAGCGAATGAGCGAATGGGCGAATGAGCAAATGAGCAAATGAGTAAATGAATAAATGAATAAATGAGTAAATGAATACGTGAATACGTGAATACATGAATAAACGAGTAAACGAATAAACGAATAAACGAATAAACGAATAAACGAATAAACGAATAAACGAATAAACGAATAAACGAATAAACGAGTAAATGAGTAAATGAGTAAATCAGTAAATGAATAAATGAATAAATGAATAAATGAATAAATGAATAAATGAATAAATGAATAAATGAATAAATGAATAAATGAATAAATGAATAAATGAATAAATGAATAAATGAATAAATGAATAAATGAATAAATGAATAAATGAATAAATGAATAAATGAATAAATGAATAAATGAATAAATGAATAAATGAATAAATGAATAAATGAATAAATGAATAAATGAATAAATGAATAAATGAATAAATGAATAAATGAATAAATGAATAAATGAATAAATGAATAAATGAATAAATGAGTAAATGAGTAAATGAGTAAATGAGTAAATGAGTAAATGAATAAATGAATAAATGAATAAATGAATAAATGAATAAATGAATAAATGAATAAATGAATAAATGAATAAATGAATAAATGAATAAATGAATAAATGAATAAATGAATAAATGAATAAATGAATAAATGAATAAATGAATAAATGAATAAATGAATAAATGAATAAATGAATAAATGAATAAATGAATAAATGAATAAATGAATAAATGAATAAATGAATAAATGAATAAATGAATAAATGAATAAATGAATAAATGAATAAATGAATAAATGAATAAATGAATAAATGAATAAATGAATAAATGAATAAATGAATAAATGAATAAATGAATAAATGAATAAATGAATAAATGAATAAATGAATAAATGAATAAATGAATAAATGAATAAATGAATAAATGAATAAATGAATAAATGAATAAATGAATAAATGAATAAATGAATAAATGAATAAATGAATAAATGAATAAATGAATAAATGAATAAATGAATAAATGAATAAATGAATAAATGAATAAATGAATAAATGAATAAATGAATAAATGAATAAATGAATAAATGAATAAATGAATAAATGAATAAATGAATAAATGAATAAATGAATAAATGAATAAATGAATAAATGAATAAATGAATAAATGAATAAATGAATAAATGAATAAATGAATAAATGAATAAATCAATAAATCAATAAATCAATAAATGAATAAATGAATAAATGAATAAATGAATAAATGAATAAATCAATAAATCAATAAATCAATAAATCAATAAATCAATAAATCAATAAATGAATAAATGAATAAATGAATAAATGAATAAATGAATAAATGAATAAATCAATAAATGAATAAATGAATAAATGAATAAATGAATAAATGAATAAATGAATAAATGAATAAATGAATAAATGAATAAATGAATAAATGAATAAATGAATAAATGAATAAATGAATAAATGAATAAATGAATAAATGAATAAATGAATAAATGAATAAATGAATAAATGAATAAAAAATAAGTTATTAAATGATTAAATGATTAAATGAATAAACAAATAACGAATAAAAAAAAATACCAAAAAAAACGAATAAATGAATAAACGAATAAATGCAATTTATTACTTAATTAGCTGACGCGCGATGCATATGTAATAGTTTTATAGTTTTAGTAAGAAAGTATGATAAAACAACGATGTTTAACTTTGCACGCAGATTTCCAAGTCTGAAAATACCTGTGACAAACTACGTCTTTCACGTTCTCACCAGAGAAGGTATACTAAATGAGACTTTAGATGGTAGCAGATTTACTCCACTTCTTCGGTTAGTTTTAAGAAAAAAGCCATAGCCATAGCCATAGCCATAGCCATAGCCATAGCCATAGCCATAGCCATAGCCATAGCCATAGCCATAGCCATAGCCATAGCCATAGCCATAGCCATAGCCATAGCCATAGCCATAGCCATAGCCATAGCCATAGCCATAGCCATAGCCATAGCCATAGCCATAGCCATAGCCATAGCCATAGCCATAGCCATAGCCATAGCCATAGCCATAGCCATAGCCATAGCCATAGCCATAGCCATAGCCATAGCCATAGCCATAGCCATAGCCATAGCCATAGCCATAGCCATAGCCATAGCCATAGCCATAGCCATAGCCATAGCCATAGCCATAGCCATAGCCATAGCCATAGCCATAGCCATAGCCATAGCCATAGCCATAGCCATAGCCATAGCCATAGCCATAGCCATAGCCATAGCCATAGCCATAGCCATAGCCATAGCCATAGCCACGGACGAAAACATCGACGTGGGCGAAAACTGTTCCTTATCTAATCCTCCAACATTGATTTAAATAACATACGGGTATGTTATACGGGTATGTTATATGGGTATGTTATACGGGTATGTTATACCTTCAATACTTAATTCACTTCACTAATTAATGATTTTAAAAAAAAATACCTTAAATAGTTCTGAGGCGACTACAGGGAATCGATGTGCAGAAGTATTTCAAGTACCTGAGAGTTACATCTTTGCAGAGTCATCGCAACCTATGGGCTACTACTTCTATGCCATCAACACCAAAAACAACACACAAATGATTTACCATTACCCAGGCAGACCCCCTTTTAACGTTTATGGGGTAAATACTTAATTCTAAGTTTAAGTTATGGGTGTGCATGCGGATGCAAGCGATGCCACATGTTCATGTTCATGTTCATGTTCATGTTCATGTTCACGTTCACGTTCACGTTCATGTTCATGTTCATGTTCATGTTCATGTTCATGTTCATGTTCATGTTCATGTTCATGTTCATGTTCATGTTCATGTTCATGTTCATGTTCATGTTCATGTTCATGTTCATGTTCATGTTCATGTTCATGTTCATGTTCATGTTCATGTTCATAATTATGTTTGTTCTTTATTTGTATGTTTATGTTTATGATTGTGGTTGTCGCTGTGATTTTGATATTGGTTTTGGATGTGGTTTTAGTTGGGGGAGTTCGTTAGGTAGGGTATGGTTTAGATTTAGGGAAAGTTAGGATATTATCTCAAAATTTTGGTTATAGATATTTGATTGGAAATTTAATGGATTTTCAAAACCCGGACAGCGCCCGGTATATATAGCGTAATAAACGTGCAAGCCACGGACATATACTGATACATTTTTACAATGCCCAGTAAAGGACCTGGCTGGGACCGATAGTATATACCTACATACATACAAGCATATATATATATATATATATATATATATATATATATATATTTATTTATTTATTTATATATATGCAGTGGCGTAGCCAGGATCGTCTCAAGGGGGGGGGGGGGGCTGGGTTCCAATTTTTACCCGGGGACAAACTTTGGATTTGCAACCCCCCCCCCCCCCCTCAAACTTTCGATTTTGCACCCCCCCCCCTCAAACTTTCGATTTGCACCCCCCTCAAACTTTCGATTTTGCACCCCCCCCCCCCGCCCTCAGACTTTCGATTTGCACCCCCCTCATACTTTATATATATATATATATATCGAGGGGTCTAGTGGGGGGTTATGACCCCCCTAACCCCCCCCTGCCTACGCCACATATATATATATATATATATGTATATATATATATATATATATATATATATATATATATATATATATATATATTTATATATATATATATATATATATGTGTGTGTGTGTATGTGTGAGTGTGTGTAAGTTTGAGTGTGTATGTGTGTGGGTGCGTGCGTGCGTGCGTGTTTGTATGTGTGTGTGTGTGTGTGTTTGAGTCTTCAGATAAATTAGCTGTGAGCTAAAAGGCAGAGATCCATCACCTTTCTTCTTGAAACATTTCAGGGGAAGCTACCGACGGGGTACAAGCCACCCAATGAGCCGAAGGACAGAATGACGACAGCCTCTACCTCAGCCAGGTCCGCCCCGCAGAACGCATGGACTCTGGGCCAAGGGTCAGCACTTATTGACCAACACGAACTGCGTAAGGACTTGCTTCACCCTAGTATAACTCTAGCTGTGGTACTTCATAAAAACCTTTCTTCATGGAATTACAGTCTTCAACATTTTTTTAAAAAAACCTTTAGTATTGTTTTCATCAATTTTGCTCGCTATTTTATCCGTTGTTTTAATCAACTTTGAAACTTACTCGATACAGTACACTATTTTCGTAAGTTGCGAAATACGCCCGATTCAGTATCAGTTGTTTTCATCCATTGTAAAATGTGCTTGATTGGGTATCTGTTTTTTTTTCATCCATTTTGAAATGAGCTTAATTCAGTCTCTGTTGTTTTCATCTATTGTAAAAATGTGCTTGATTCAGAATTTAGTGTTTTCAACCATTCTGGAATGTGCTTGATTCAGTCTGTTTTTTTCATCCATTGTGAATTGTGCTCGATTCAGTCTGTTGTTTTTATCTATTGTAAAAATGTGCTTGATTCATTCTCTGTTTTTTTTCATCCATTGTGAAATATGTTTGATTCAGTATGCCCCGTGTACTACTACGGTGAGCAGTGCAGTGAAGTGTGTACGTGCGCCGGCAACAAGTGCCGTACCGACGGATCGTGCTACACAACAGAATGCCACAGAGGCTCATTAGGGGACGGCTGCACCAGAAGTGGGTTGGACACATGTCAGTGGCACACGATAGGTGTCACTGACACATGTCAGTGGCACACGATAGGTGTCACTGACACAAGTCAGTGGCACACGATAGGTGTCACTGATTTTCGTTTGTTTCATTTTTACATTTAGGGTAACCCTGGCTAATTACACTTCCTACTTTTTTATCTTCAAATCTTGTATTAGCGCTACAATATTAATTTATATGGTTATAGTTGCATACGAGATATGTATATGATGGTAAAGGAAAATAGAGATAATTCTCAAAACGAAAAAAGGTTTTATGTGTTCATTTTTTTATTATTACCAAAACAAGGAAGGTGAGGCAATTCCACACCCAAGAGAGATACCTTTTTTTTTAAAAGTTAATTTGAAAATGTGCAGAAGACGTGTTTGGGGGTAGCTACTCTTCATCCCTGTAAGAAGGAGAAAAAGCCCATTTAACAACTTTGGGCCTCTTCTTTAACCATTTTCAAAACCTCCACGTCTTAAGCTGCTCTTAAGCAGATGTTTAGGGCTGATTATGGCTGACCATACTGAAATGTGAACCAAAAAAGTTATTTTCTACTAATTTTTCTAATGCTAATAATCTAATTATTACTGTCTTTAAATCTTGCATTACAAATTAAGCTAAAGTAAAAATTAAATTAGGAATTGCCCCCTACCTACTCTTGATAAAAATGTTATCAAATTCTAAAAAAGCAGCAGTATTTGACATAATTAATGTTGCTATTAGTAACAAAAAATGATGAAGCTAACATAAAATTCAATTAATAGGGCACCGAAGTTGAAAAAAAAATGTAAAATATTTTCGAAATTGCGTGTGTTAAACTTATGTTAGGGAGCTGGAAGATAGATGCAGGCAAAATAAAATAAATGCTTTAATCGTAAAAGAATCCCTTTTAAATAAAAACAGGAATCCCACGAAATGACCTCTTACAAACAGTAAATGATATTTTGTGTAAATTAATTCACTTTTTAAAAAAGACAAATCAGTGTATAGGGTGTGGAATAACTCCGGGTGTGGAATTATTCCGGGTGTGGAATTATCCGGGTGTGGAATTACCCCGGGTTACCCTACCGTAAAACCTGTTTTAGAATCAACTCTTTTTTCCAACTGTATAGATTTTATTCGCTCCAATGTTAGAGAAATTAAAAAAAAAATGTTTCAATTTGAATCTGGTACTAGCGGACTTGGTGATGACCGGGGGAATCTTCTCCCACAAAGTGTTGATCGACAGCGACAGCAGCACCGGCGTGGGTCTAGCCGGGAATACACTGACCCTGGTGCTAAATGACCCTGGGCTCTCAAGATCCTTCACACTCGAACTGGCGGAGGATGGTAAATATATTTCAAACATTTCCGTTTGAGGGGTCTGGGAAGGAAACGCTACATGAAGCATACAACAATCAGCAAATCATAAGGGGCTACGTAGTGCGGAGGGTGTGTCACAGGCGTAGCGAAGGGGGGGTGGGTACATACGTCCCTGGGCGCCGACCCTATGGAAGCCAAAATGGGTGAAAAAAAAATTAAAAGCTAATTTTAGCTGCAGTTTTGAATTATAAAGATACAAAATATATGGGGGGAGGGGGGGGGGGCGCCAAATTGAAAGTTTGTCCCCTGACGCCGGAGGGGTCGCTACGCCTCTAGGGTGAGTGTTCGTCTGCTAACTCTAGAAGTCTCGAGATCAGATCCCGGGCAGATAAGGTTCGTTAGCTGGGGACAGCAAACAGTTTATGAGAGAAAACTAAAATTAAACAACTACTGCCTTTTAGAATTTTTTGGTGGACACATTCTACAAAGTAAATCAAGAAAGAAAATCAGGCAGAAGTAGGCGCCAACGAGACATACAGCACAATTATGTATGACAAATTAGCATGAACTCAGGAATTTATAACAGCATACACGATCATAAAAATGTAATTTTCTAACATAATAATGGTTTTACTCATCGCTAAAGAAAATTACGCGTCATATGTTTATCAATTGCTAGGTGTTGAAACATGTTTAAAATGAAACTACTGTAACCATTGGTAATACTTGATTCATCGCAATAAAATAAAAATACACTTAGCAAGGTTAGGAAAGACATTTAAATGCAGTTCTAATTTCATTATTTTAGTCACATCTTACACCCCTCCCCTTTCAACATTTGACAATCTTTAACAACAATCTCTCATAATCCTCTGGGATGTGTTTGTGAATCATATCAAATTCGTATAGTTAATTATTGTTTTATGAGCCTCCGTTCAATAGGTATATATGTCTTTCTAAACGTATTTCAAACCGTTTAAAAGATATATTTTTCGTATTGTATTTTTTGGCCCATTATTAGACAGTTGGTTTTAAACTCATTAACGAACAAACCATCTGACACTTTAGGATTAACAATTCAAACTCGTCATAGGTACAAAGTTAAGACTATAATTATGCGAACTTTAACCGTAAAAGATTTGAGTTCTAAAAATGTCCAGCATTGTCACTGCGTTATACAGCATGTCCAAGTGTGTCTGAAAACAAAATATGAATACTTTTTACTTTCATTATTGTAGCTAAAATCACGCCTGAACAGATTGAAATTCAGATTTGGAATCCCGGGCGAGAAGTGTATGAGCCGCTAAACCAACCGATTACGGTGGAGAGCAAAACTATAAAATGTCACGTGGTTTGGTGGGAAAAACCCATCATCATCCACCAATTACAAGTAAAAGTGGATTCCACGCAGCAAGCCACGTCGTTTCTCATGGACGGCGGTGAGGAAGTGTGGGGTGTGGTGTAGTGTGTGGTTTGTACCTTGTTTGACGTGGATGGCGGTAAGAAAAAAGTTGGTTTTGGTGGTGTGCGGGTACCGCCAAATGTGAGGGAAGGGGTGAATGAAGATAACACAAGCCCAACTCAAGATATGATGTTCTTTATTTTCACAAATCAATTATTCTACTTCTACCTAACTAGTCTATACTGTATGCTATCTACTACTACTTCTACCTAACTAGTTTATACTGTATGCTATCTACTACTACTTCTACCTAACTAGTTTATACTGTATGATATCTACTACTACTTCTACCTAACTAGTCTATACTGTATGCTATCTACTACTACTTCTACCTAACTAGTCTATACTATATGCTATCTACTACTATTTCTACCTAACTAGTCCATACTATATGCTATCTACTACTACTACTTCTACCTAACAAGTCTATACTATATGCAGGGGCGGAACTACAGTGCCGCCAGACCCCGCAATGCGGGGGGGCCCACGCCATTTAGGGGCCCAAAGCCGACCCCAAAAAAAATTTTTATAGTTAAAAAAAAAATAATTTTCTAGCATTTTTGACTTGATGGTTGTTTTGCAAAAAGATTACCGTAGCTGCGGTTGGATAATCTTTATTCTATACCACCCCAGGCCATGTATATTCTTTTTCCCTTTGTTTTTAAACCACAGTGAAAGCCGAGTCCTCTTTCTCCTACAATCAAACTTATCAAAGATAAGCAAACCACTTCCATGACTTATTTCCCTTTTTTAAATAATCAAGTGCTCATAAACTCCTTTTAATAGATTTGTACTAAACAAATTAAAAAGGAATTACTTCTCTTAATTATTATTTATCAAAAAGTATTGACTAAATAATGATATTGTACAAAAAGGAAATGAATTTCAAATTAATAATATAAATAAAAAAATAAAATAAAATAAACATAACACGAGACACCATAACTTTTACAAAGCTTTCATGTTTTATATTCTTTATACCGACTAGAAGGAAGTCACGTATCAGAGTTAAAGTAAAACTATTTTCACAAAACACACTAACTAACGCACTTACACACATAACATGATGATGTAATTTGATTTAATTGTTTTTTTTTTCTCAAAACCCGAACAGGCCAGTAATGAGTATCATATGTTCGTATTTATATGTTTATATATATATATATATATATATATATATATATATATATATATATATATATATATATATATATATATATATATATATATACACATATATATATATATATATATATATATATACACATATATATATATATATATATATATATATATATATATATATATATATATATATATATATATGGGGGGGGGCCTAAAAATTTTTTTGCGGGGTGGCCCTTTTTTTCTAGTTCCGCCACTGACTATATGCTATCTACTACTACTACTTCTACCTAACTAGTCTATACTATATGCTATCTACTACTACTACTTCTACCTAACTAGTCTATACTATATGCTATCTACTACTACTACTACTTCTATCTAACCCAGAGGAGTAGCGAGAGGGGTGCTGGGGGTGCGGACAGCACCGGGTGACACCATTTAGGGGGTGACACCAAGGCAAAAATAGCAAAATATTTACAGAAAATTGATAATTTCACTTAATTAAATGATTACTTATAGGGAATTAAATAGTCTTTTAAGAGCAAAGTGGACAAATCCCCACACAGGTGGAGGGAGTTGGGTTTGACACCATGACGTAAACCTGCTAATGATAAAGAAAACCTGCAACATCAGCTGAAATTATAACCGAATATAGATACAAATAGTTAGTATTATCTGAACACAGTTTAAAGCAATCACCAAGGGGGTGACGAGGGGAGGGGGGAGAGTTACATCAACTTAACGTTGCAATATATAAGGCTGAGGAAAACGGTTTAGTTGAGAATCGTAATAAGCTGTATGTTAATCCGTGTATGTGGGGGGGGGGGGAGGTGTCAAAATATAATATATCCAGCAGAAAAAATATTTTAATACATATACACGTACGTATACACACAGTGTGTGGTTTGTACCTTGTTTTACGTGGATGACGGTGGGAAAAGGTGGGTTTTGTTGTTGGTGTGGTTTTTATCTTTTTTGACGTTGACGCTGATAGTAAATTTGTGTTTGCTTGTAATGTGGGATAGCTAGTTTGTAGCGGTAAAATAATCTCAGTTTGTAGCGGTAAAATAATCTCAGTTTGTAGCGGTAAAATAATCTCAGTTTGTAGCGGTAAAATAATATCAGTTTGTAGCGGTAAAATAATATCAGTTGTACATGGATTTAGTTATCTTGAGTGTGATGTTGGTAACCCTATTGTTAAAAATGTTGAACTTTGTTTTAAAAAAATATTTTTTTATAAAGTGTTGATCTATGTTAAGGGACTTTCACATACATTTTTTTGAATTCTAACTGATGGTAAAAAAAAAAAAAAAACTTGAGTACATTATTTCACTTTTTATTTTTTAAGGCTAAGTTTTGTGCATTCACTTCTGGAAAAGTTTTTAACCACGAGATATATTTAATACAGAGGCGTAACGAGGGGGGTGGGTGGAGGGGGACATATGTCCCCAGTCGCCGACCTTAGGGGGCGCCAAAAAGGGTTGGAAAAACAATTTGAAAGTTTGAGGAGGGTGCAAATCGGACGCTTGCCCCCGGGCACATGGAAGTGTCGCTACGCCTCTGATTTAATAGGAAAACGTATAGAATATATTAATTTTGGCTTTTTTTCATTTTAGGTGAAAACTTACGTGGCGGGGCAGCGGTGGGTGATGCCGGAAGTGCTGCCAGGGGGAATGAGTCATCAGGCCCAAGTGCCGTGTACACGCTGGGCGTGGCGCCCGATAATGACCCCCAGCTCGCGGCCCAGCTGAGGGACGGGAACCGCTTTAACACCTGTATCAAGGCAGACGATCAGGCCGAGGCTGGAATCGAGTTCCAAGACGAGTACACGCTGTACAATATGTTGATCTCAACAACAGGTGTGTTGGTGTGTTTGTATTTCGATTCACCGTGTGCTTGTCCCTTACGTTGACATACTGCCTGTATTTATCATACACCCAGCCTCGGTGGCGGAACTAGAAAAAAAGGGTCACCCCGCAAAAAAAAAATTCTGGCTCCCCCCCCCCCCCGCTATATATATATATATATATATATATATATATATATATATATATATATATATATATATATATATATATATATATATATATATATATATATATATATATATATATATGTATGTATATATATTATATATATACATATATATATATACATATATATATATATATATATATATATATATATATATATATATATATATATATATATATATATATATATATATATATATACATACATATATATATATATATATATACATATATATATATATATATATATATATATATATATATATATATATATGTATATATATATATATATATATATATATATATACAGAATACAATCATTGGATACTCATTTCTGGCCTGATCGGGTTTTTTTAAAAAGAAATGTCTTTTTTGTTTGGTGTTTTCAATTAAAACAAATTACAACATGTCATTTGTGTGAGTGCATTAGTCGGGTTTGTATTTTTTTTTTTTAGATTTTGACTAGTTTATTCAATAAGTTTGCTGTAATACCGCCTAACCTCCACACTGTAGCCGGTGACATGGTTGTAATGTGTAATGGTTTCTCGTGTTATGTTTATTTTTATGTTTTCTTTTATTTATATTACTAATTTAAAAAAAAAAAAACATTTCTTTTTTATCCCATGTCAATATGTATTTTAAAAAAATAATTAAGAGAAGTAATTGCTTTTTAATTTGTTTTGTACAAATCTATTAACATGAGCTTATGAGCACACTTATTTAATTTTTTAAAAAAGGGAAATAAGTCGTAAGTGTTTTGAACTTTTGTCTATCTTTTACACTACAGCTCAGGCACATACTTTTTATGCAACATCATGTGTTAGCTACTGTATAACATCAATACTGTAGTAGATCTGTTTGTTATTTACAAAAGCTTTTACCGTCCAGTCAAAAATGCAAGAAAATTAATTTTTTTAACTGTAAAAAAATTATTATGGTCGGCTATGGGCCTCTAAACGGCGTTGCCCCCCCCCCCCCCACCCCGATTGAGGGGTCTGGCGGCACTGTAGTTCCGCCCCTGTCCAGCCTACATCTTGTAGTCTATTATTATGATTGTTTTCCAATTTTTAAATTGAAAATTTATAACGATAGCGGAAGTAACATTTATATTAGATTAAATTTTTTGACTGATCTGATTAAATATTCACATTTAGTTTGATAACCATGTAACAATTTATATTTGGTTAATTTTTTTACTGATGTGATTAAATATTTACATTTGACAACAACAAAAAAAAAACAATAAAAAAAGGCTAGATGGCATGTACGAAAACTAGAAGTCGATGACCTACTTACAAGCCTAATTAGAGAAAGGAAGCGTGTTTATGTATAATTGTATATACGAGCGTGAATGTGTAAAATTAAGCACTACACTATCGCATTACGATGAACTTCTTTGATTTATAAAAATAATATTAACTAAAATAAACCGGAAGTGATCTCCCCTAAACTTTCTCGAATATTCTTATATAAAACAACAGGTTATGGGAAGTCCATTTTTAATACTTAAAGTTTTTAAAATAGAATAAAATCTCGTAGAAAAAGAATTGCACACCAAGTGAACGCCAAATGAAATGTGCATAATAGTGCTCAATATTATTAGTACTTTATAAATTTACATGCGTTTTTTGAGAAATCGGAAATAGCGTAAATTAGTACTTCCGGTCAACGGAAATTACTCAAAATTAGAAATAAGGTAGAGAATTAGATCTTTTACTTACATGTGAAATTTCATTTATCTATCTGAAATAGTACTCAAATAGTACATTGAAAAATTAAAAGTAGAAAAAGTACCACTTCCGTTTATTGGAAATTGCTCAAAAGTTGATACGGATCTACGATTTTGATAAAATACCTAAATATGAAATTTCATCTACCTAGCAGTAACAGTACTCAAGTTATGGTGTTTACACACACAGACACACACACACATACACAGACATACGGACAAGATTGCAAAATAATGTTTTTCTGTATCAGTGAGGTGTAAAACGTCGAGATTTGTAAAAATCTCGATTTTTTTTTTTGCATGATTACAAGACTTTCTCTATACTTCGTATATACGAGAAAGTAAAAATTGTATCAAATCAAACATGAAAAACATTATTTATTCCGTAGGCCTGCATATATTACGAGATTTTCTTTAAAACATCGTATTAATCTGAGTTAACGATTAACTCTTCAATCATTTTAAGTTTCATTTGCTCTTCGGCTTCAACAATGAAATTGAATTCAAAATCTATTTTAAGACATTCAATTAGCTCAAACTCTTGTACTGGTACCGTTTAGGGACGCCGTTGGTTGTCGTGGTGACGTGCACCAACTCTCTGGATGAGGTCCTGGCAAAACAGAAGGTTCGATACAAGAAGGGGAGCCGATTCATGCACCTAAACATCAACAAAAAGGTCAAGAGGTGTAAAATCCAATCGGACAATGGTCCTTTAGAACTATGTGAGATCGATGTCTTTGGAGGTTCGTATGTGGGTGGGGTTTTTTAATTGGTAATACATTCGGCCAGACTCTGATCATGGTAGTTGGTTTTGTAGATATCTATATTTGTGGTAATTTCTTTTGTAGATATCTATATTGGTGGTAATTTGTTTTGTAGATATTTATATTGGTGTTAATTTGTTTTGTAGATATCTATATTGGTGGTAATTTGTTTTGTAGATATTTATATTGGTGTTAATTTGTTTTGTAGATATCTATATTGGTGGTAATTTGTTATGTAGATATCGATATTGGCGGTAATTTGTTTTGTAGATATTTATATTGGTGGTAATTAGTTTTGTAGATATATACATTGGTGGTAATTTGTTTTGTAGATATCTATATTGGTGGTAATTTATTTTGTAGATATCGATATTGGTGGTAATTAGTTTTGTAGATATCTATATTGGTGGTAATTTTTTATGTAGATATCGATATTGGTGGTAATTTGTTTTGTAGATATTTATATTGGTGGTAATTAGTTTTGTAGATATCTAAATTGGTGGTAATTTGTTTTGTATATATATATATATATATATATATATATATATATATATATATATATATATATATATATATATATATACATATATATATATATATATATATATATATATATATACATACATATAGTTATATATATATATATATATATGTATATATATGTATATATATATATATATATATAATATAATATAATATAATATAATATCTTTATAGATTCTCATATGATGGTTAATGCTGAAGACATTGAGCTTAGTACAAGCGACGATGATTCGACCGCAGCGAGCACTTTTGCACTGGTCTCGAGTCTTGTTCTACTGTTCCTCTGTCTGCTGCTAAACGTAGTGGCATTGTTAAAAACCCATACCAAGTCGACACAAGATCTAGCCCTTACCAGTGGGTGGATGTTTGTCCGTGTGTACTTGTGGCTCTTTAGACCCACCTGAGAAAAAAAAACAATAGCATCTGGGAGGATAATGATTTTTGTTATCTCTTCCAAGAAACAATTAATCAAACATTAATACTAATAGTTTCGCTGTCTGTCTATCTATGTATCTATCTGACAAGAACCCTGTAGAGAAAACACAAGCAAATTAAAAACCTGCATAGTAATTCGAAAAACGAAGTATGACGTCGCCACATTTAGCATAGAGTAGAAAATAATCTCAAGCCGGAGATTGCACACAGTAATATGACGTCATTGATTCTCGAGTAAACATTGAATAAAAAGGAAATTTTGTCTAATCTAAGTGGTTTGCGTGAAGAGTTTCTTTCATACAATTCTTCGGGTAGGGGCGAAGCCCCACCCCCGCGTAAGAACGTCTGAGCCCCCCCCCCCCCCTCCCTAACTCAAAAGAAATTTCTTCATCGATACTCTATAATAAAATTACCGCCTAATTAATGAGTCTAATCTAAAAAGTGGTTTTCTTGCAATTTCTTTAATGCAATTCTTCGGGTAGTGGCTAAGCGCGACACCAGTGTTTCTTTCAGACTTTTTCCTACCCGGAGAGGGGTGGGGGTACTTGAAATTTTCGGGGGCGGGGGTAGAATTTTCGGGGAGGCGGCGGACACTGGAAAAAGTATATAATTATATTTTGTTGAATGGGACGGTAGACATGTTTTTTGGGGGGTGGGGGTGGGGGGGTGGGGGGTGGCGGTGGGGGGGGGGGGTGGTGTGTGGGGGGGTTAGGTGGTTTTAGTTTAGAGAAAAGAGACAGCACTATCAGCCTAGCGCCCGTTGTATCCTTCCTCAACGGGCCATTTTTCTCGTGTTTGATATAATAGCCTACTATTTATAATTTAATCGAGATTCAGAAACCTCTCTACTAACGAAACCTTCTGAACATTAATTGTGGTAAAAACAACAAAATGACATCGCGATATTCTGGTCACTCCTCTTACCCATTCATACTTAATCTAGTCACCACACATACATACTTAATCTAGTCACCATACATACATACTTAATCTAGTCACCACACATACATACTTAATCTAGTCACCACACATACATACTTAATCTAGTCACCATACATACATACTTAATCTAGTCAACACACATACATACTTAATCTAGTCACCATACATACATACTTAATCTAGTCACCACACATACATACATACTTAATCTAGTCACCACACATACATACTTAATCTAGTCACCATACATACATACTTAATCTAGTCACCACACATACATACATACTTAATCTAGTCACCACACATACATACTTAATCTAGTCACCACACATACATACTTAATCTAGTCACCACACATACATACTTAATCTAGTCACCACACATACATACATACTTAATCTAGTCACCACAAATACATACTTAATCTAGTCACCATACATACATACTTAATCTAGTCACCACACATACATACTTAATCTAGTCACCACACATACATACTTAATCTAGTCACCACACATACATATTTAATATAGTCACCACACATACATACTTAATCTAGTCACCACACATACATACTTAATCTAGTCACCACACATACATACTTAATCTAGTCACCACACATACATACATACTTAATCTAGTCACCACACATACATACTTAATCTAGTCACCACACATACATACATACTTAATCTAGTTACCATACATACATACTTAATCTAGTCACCACACATACATACTTAATCTAGTCACCACACATACATACATACTTAATCTAGTCACCATACATACATACTTAATCTAGTCACCTTACATTCGTACTAAATCTAGTCACCACACATACATACTTAATCTACTCATTCACAGCAAATCAGCATAACATGTATATGTCGTTTTGTGTCGTCGTAGTGTTAGAGTTTGTAGGATTAAATCGGTATTCTCATTAAAGTAGACTAAATAATGTCACTGGCTGTATGGTAAAGGGCGAGGAGGGGGGGGGGGTCAATCATGCATCGCAGCAAGCTCAGGTTTAAGTGAACAACACGCAGTCTGATGGTTTTGATGAACTGGATGTGTGACGTTTAACTTGTGCAGCACTATTTTGATGTCGATTATGGTTTAACTGCATGTATATCTTCTGTTTTACAGGTGAATAGATGACCCACAAAAAGACCTGTATTATAACTTTATAACTAACGTGGAAAACGCACCTTTGTGTTATGGCGTAATATTTATTTCTCAGCGTATTGCTTTATATTCTTTAAAACATTTTAAAGAAAAAAAACCACATTAAATGATCATAGTTTTTTTTTATCTCAGACTTGAATTAAGTTTGTTATTTATTGTATTAAAAGATGGTAGCCTAAGCTTATGTTGTGTCTATTTACTTGTGGTTTGAATAAATAAACAGATTAAGACTTTTTTAAATCGATTTTAGTGACGTTTTTTTTTGTTTTGTTTTTAATGCATGATTTTGTTGTCTTTACTTTCAACGTTAATATTTTGATACAAGTAAAGGTGATTTCAAAACTCAAATTGTTGAACTTAATATCATTTCACATCCGAAACAATTTGTTTAATCAAATATAACAAAAACTCTTTTAATGGCGATGACAAACTAGTACAACAAATGACAATAACATAATAGGTTTATAAATCATAAAAACATGAAAAATAAAATTCGGTACTGCTGTGTTTGTTTTCAACAAGAGGACCTAGCTTCCTTTGTTCATATTTGTTCGGATTTACTTGATCTATTTGAATAACTTGCTACAAAATTCAAGTGTGTCTTTAGTTTACTCAAAACCAGTTAAACCTAATGTTTTTCAAAAGTTAATGAAGTAAATCTGGTGAAGATCCAAAGCATATTGTGATCAACATACAATTAGCACTGAATGATTTGAAAAAGCGGAATGTTAAGCAGTGTATCTGTTCAACATAAAAAGGAAATAGTAAAATAACTGAAGTGGAGTAGACATTGTGTGTTGCGTGCAGAGTAATCTGCTGTAATGAATCCATCATCGAATGTGTTTTGTTTTTGTTTTTAACGCCAATGAAAAAGCGTGGTCCATGCAACAGATACGCGACGTATACAGTGTGTAAATACCGGATCTAGGAATTACCCCCCTTCCTCTAGCTCACGAATCCTGACGCTAACCCCAAACTCCAACCATATGATAAAATCTAACCCTAAAAAGAACCCAAAAGCTAACTCCAAATCTAGAATTATATATTATCTTAATCCTAACCTCAAGAAGAATTAATTAATTTAAATCTAAGCTCTCAGCTCAGCCTAAAACTTAACCCAACCCCAACCCTAGACATTAGTTTAACCCTAACCCTAACGCTAACCATAACCTAACTCTAACACTAACATTTACACTAACCCTACCCATAACCCTAAACCTAAACCTAACCAGAGCCATAACCCTAACTGTAACAAGCTATGACCAAGGGGGGTAATGTCCTACTGGGTGGGGGGGGGGGTTATTGACAGGGGGTAGTTACTCCGGGGGTAATATCGGGGTGGGGGAGAGAAATGTCCGGTGGTTAATTGACCGAAGGGGGTAATGACCTGTCTCTAACCATGTTTAAAAGCCCCCGTGTTTTTCTTAGATAGTTTGGTGTACGAGTGGGTAGTCGATTACTTTTTTTTAACCTATTGATTTTACGGTGATGGTTAATCGCTGCCATTATTTAACACTTTCCAGTCACGTAATGGCTGATTAGCTATTTCCCCCCGTATTCTATTTACTGGACGAATGTCCCTGCTGAATTTAAAACGCCTTAATTTAATTCTATAAGACAATAGTTATTTTTCTTTAAATGTATGTGACTACACTATTATTACGATAAACGCTATTCAGTCCCAAGTAGTCTACTAACAGAAATACTTCAACATTTTGGTGCGAAGTGGGCTGTAAAAGAGTGCATGCGCACTGCCTGTGAGTAAGCATGAATGCAAGGCTTCACTAGTTGCGAAATTTTTACAAGCGCATCCGCTTTTACGACCTCACACATATGCTGCTGCATTTTCAGTGCAAAGTGTATTGTCAGGATCCTACCCAATAGGATCAAAATCAATTCAGTTGGTTCGACCAGCATTTAGGCATGTTTTGGGTGTGTTTCTTAATGATTATTCCTAGCGTGGTCTCCGACGATTCTTGTCAAGAAACTATAACAGAGGAGTTCGACCCGGCAACTGCACGTAGGTTTATTTACATTATTTTTTTTTTAGTCGAATGGAGGCAACCGAGTAGACAAGAATCCTTCCCTCACATTGTTGACATGAATAAAATTATTATTTTAAAAAATATTTTTACTTCATAGCGGCCATAAAAAAAACAACATAAGCCTAAGATAATACAGAAGTTTTATATTTTTAGAAACAATGTTATAAAAGTTGCGATTAATTATTTTTTTTTGAGTTTAAACCCACATTTCTGTTTATTCTCATCTAGCTTAAGTAATAACATGTGGTTTCACTTTCGTAAGACAAACATTGATTGGCTGTAGGCCTACCGACAGAAACTTCGTGATTGGTAGTTATTTGTTTACAAAAGTTTTGCAGAAATAAAAAAGTGCTGTTTTAAACCACTTGACCTACTTGTGACATTTTTGTTTACATTTTGTAAAATAAAATTTCTCCTAGCCAATCTTCTTCTTCTTCTTCGTTCTTAATTTTTAGTGTTGGGAGGGATCGAGCCTTATCTGCCATAGGGTTTGAACTCGAGACTTTTTTTCGAATTTATCAACCATGAGCTTTGCCGACTCGAACATGCTTCCATCACAATTAAGAATTTCGTGTCAACTGGTTATGCGACATTGAGGCCACTGACTCCGATTTGATCCTGCTTTTCTTTTTGGATTTGCTTCCATAGCCTTTGTCCAACCAAAAACAAACTACAAGGCAGCAGTTGCTTGATTTTGGAGTTGTCTCTCCTAGAAGAGTGGCTGTCCCCAGCTAACGAGCCTCATCTGCCCGAGGGTTCGAACGCGGGACTTTTCGGTTTAGCAACCGACTCGACCACGCCGACCCTGTTAGCCACTCAAAAAGTAGGGTGTCATCTTTTATGGCGCCATTACCAAGTGTAGGCTAAACAAAATTGCTTTTGCCTTTTTAAAAACAATTGTGTTTAATTACCGAAAATACTAAAACGTCAAATAAATTCACTTTAAAAAAAAATAAAGTCCGAAAACCAAACAATCAGGATTTTATAGCCATATTAATTTTAATTGCATCGTGCAATTTCCTGGGCTTTTCGAATATCTTTAAGACTATTCATGGTGGCCTCCTTTAGTGTTTTCTGCATGCCAGATTACGTAGTAAAAATGTTAAATACACACACACACACACACACACACACATATATATATATATATATATATATATATATATATATATATATATATATATATATATATATATATATATATATATATATTTCCTGTGTGGCCCCTGTGGAGCAAAGGGCTGCAACCACACATTTCCAGCGGACTTGGTTTTGGGCTGCTCCCTTAATCTGTGCCCATGTGAGCCCAGCTGTTTTCGCCTCTTCTTCAACCGTTCTTTTCCATGTTATCCTTGGCTTGCCCACACTCCTTTTTTCCTGGGGATTCCAGTCCATAGCATGTTTTGCGATGTTTTCTTTTTCTCTTCTTACCGTGTGTCCGATCCATCCCCATTTACGGGTTTTGATGCCTTTCTCTATTGGCTGTTGCTTAAGAAATAGCCACAGGTCTTTGTTTGATATTTTGTCTGGCCATCTTATTTTAAGAATATGTCGTAAGCATTTGTTTACGAATGCCTGTAGTCTAAAAGTATTTGTCTTCGTAACCCTCCAAGTATCCGAGCCATAGAGCAGCACTGCGTTGACATTTGTGTTGAAAATCCCAATTTTGCTCTGCAGTGACAGGGCCGTGCACCTCCACATCGGGCGCAGTGAGTTGAAGGTACATCCAGCCTTGTTGATACGGCATTTTATGTCCTCGTCTGCTCCCCCGTCCTTATTGATCACGCTTCCAAGATATGGGAATGTGCTTTTTTCTCGTAAATCTTCCCCATTTAGCTGGGCAGGTCCTGGCTGTTATTGATTCTGATGACCTCTGTATTGAGTATGTTGATGCTTGTGAGATAGATGTCATCGGCAAAATCAAGATATTCCAGCCTTTAGGTGAAAATCCACTGGATTCCTTTGTCGTTTTTTGTGGTTTTCAACATGATCCAGTCGATTACCACCACGAATATCATTGGCGATAGCATACACCCCGACTTACTCCCGTCGTCACCGTGAATATTTTTGTCAGTTTTCCCTTGTGTATTACCTGACTGGCGGAGTCTTCATATAGTTAATGTGTGATAGTTATAGATTTTTTGGGTATTCCATAATGGCTCATTAGCTTCCACATAACATCTCTATTCACACTGTCAAACGCCTTTTCAAAGTCGACAAAAGTCATGATTGCCACTCGAGGGACTGTTCAATAATAATGCGCAGCGTGGCAATGTGGTCAGTACATGACCTGTTTTTACGAAAACCAGCTTGTTCTTGTCTCAGCTTTTTGTCCAAGGCATCTCTAAGTCTCTCTAGGATGATTCTCGTCAGCACCTTACTTGGGACTGAAAGAAGTATTATCCCTCTCCAGTTGTTGCATTAAGTCAGGTCTCCCTTCTTTGGCAGTTTTATCAGGTATCCCAGTTTCCAGTCAGATGGGATTATCTCTTCTTCCCAAATCTGCTTAAGTAGAGGATGTAGTATATCTGCTGATATGGCTGGGTCTGCTTTGAGTGCATCTGATGGGATGCCGTTTTTTATGTTCTTTATTGCTCTTATTGTTTCTAATTTTGTGGGTGGATCTGTACACACATTTAGTAGGTGATTTGCAGGTAGTATATCAGAGATGTTTGATGAGAGAGGGTTGTTTACAATCTTGTCAAAGTGCTGTACCCATTTGTCTCTCTGTTCTGTGTCACTTGTTAAGATATTTCCTACTTTATTCTTTACTGGTTTGTTGGGATTAATATGTTTTCCTTGTCGTGCTGCAGTTTCTGCCTCCGCTATCATCTCTTGTATGAACTGTCTTTTGTCTTCTTTTGCACTTTTCCTGACCATGCGATTTACTTCACAATAATGTGTTCTGAGGTTTATTTTCTCTTTTTCATCCTTACATTTGTTCAACTTTTGCGTTATCTCTTTTCTATCTTCAATTTTGGCCCATGTCTCTGATGTTATCCAGTCTTTTGTTCATTTTTTTCCCCAATATGTCAGTGCATGTGGACTTCCATAGTTCCTGTATTCCTAGCCATTTTTGCTCTACTGTTTCTTCTGCCAGACTGGAGAGTACTTAAAACCTATTT